AAGATCAGCCCCTGGAGTTCTTTTCCACACTCGCCATAATTCACCACCAGATGTCAGGGTAGAGCTCATCCTGACTCTGCTTACAGTACTAATGTGAGATTTCTAAAGATAGCAACAGCACTCAACCCAATGTTTAAGAATCTGAAGTGCCTTCCAAAATCTGAGAGGGACGAGGTGTGGAGCATGCTTTCAAAAGTCTTACAAGAACCATAGAATATCAGGGTTGGAAGGGACCCCAGGAGGTATCTAGTCCAACCCCCTGCTCAAAGCGGGACCAACCCCAACTAAATCAGCACAGCCAGAGCTTTGTCAAGCTGGGCCTTAAAAACCTCTAAGACCATCTCCCTAGGGAACCCATTCCAGTGCTTCACCACCCTCCCAGTGAAAAAGTTTTTCCTAATATCCAACCTAAACCTCCCCCCCTGTAACTTGAGACCATTACTTCTTGTTCTGTCATCTGCTACCACTGAGAACATCCGAGCTCCATCCTCTTTAGAACCCCCCCCTTCAGGTAGCTGAAGGCTATCAAATCCTTCCTCACTCTTCTCTTCTGCAAACTAAATAAGCCCAGATCCCTCAGCCTCTCCTCATAAGTCATGTGCCCCAGCCCCTTAGTCCAATGGAGGGCAACAAAAATGATTATCTACAATTTGTCCACATCCTTTCTGTAGTGGGGGACCCAAAACTGGATGCAATACTGCAGATGTGGCCTCACCAGTGCCAAATAGAGAGGAATAATCACTTCCCTCAATCTGCTGGCAATGCTCCTACTAATTCAGCCCAATATGCTGTTAGCCTTCTTGGCAACAAGGGCACACTGTTGACTCCTATCCAGCTTCTCGTCCACTGTAATTCCCAGGTCCTGTTCTGCAGAACTGTCGCTTAGTCAGTTGGTTCCCGGCCTGTAGCAGGGCAAAAGAGTAATGCTCCAATGCGGAAATTACAGAACCCAAACCGCCAAAAAAGAAAATCAACCTTCTGCTGGTGGCGTCTGACTCAGATAATGAAAATGAACATGCATCAGTTAACACTACTTTGGATTGTTATTGAGCAGAACTGTTATCAGCATGGACGCATGTTCCCTGGTGTGGTGGTTGAGGCACAAGGGGACATGTGAGTCTTTGGCGCATCTGACACATAGGTATCTTGCGACGTTGGCTGCAACGGTGCCATGGGAACGCCTTTTCTCACTTTCAGGTGACATTGTGACCAAGAGGTGGGCAGCATTGTCTCCTGCAGGTGTGGCCGGGCTTGTTTGTCTGGGCGATTGGCTGGGCAGGAGGTAGGACTGAGTGGACTTGCAGGCTCTGTGGTTTTGCATTGTTTTTGAATGCAGGTTTTTTTGTACATAATTCTACATTTGTGGATTCAACTTTCATGATAGGGAGATTGCACTGTAGTACGTGTATTGGGAAGTACTGTTTCTTTTGTTTTTTTTGCAGTGCAAATACTTGTAATCAAAAATAAATATAAAGTGAGCACTGTACACTTTATATTCTGTTGTAATTGAAATCAATATATTTGAAAATATAGAAAACATCAAAAAACATTTAAATAAATGGTATTCTGTTATTATTTAACAGTGCGATTAATCGCAATTAATTTTTTTAATTGCTTGACAGCCCTAATTCATATATGATCTTGAAAAAGGGATAAACAGTGAGGTGTCAAAATTTGCAGATGAGAAATTACTCAAGATAGTGAAGTACAAAGAACACTGGAAAGAGTTACAAAGAGATTTCACAAAAGTGGGTGACTGGGTAACAAAATGGCAGATGAAATTCAGTGCTGATAAATGCAAAGTACTGTTATACACATTGGGAAAATGTAATCAAGAGTGGTGTGGAGAAAGTGAATAAGGAAAAGTTATTTACTTGTTCCCATAATATAAGAACTAGGGGCCACCAAGTGAAATTAATGGGCAGCAGGTTTAAAACAAATAAAAGGAAGTTCTTCTTCACACAGCGCACAGTCAACCTGTGGAATTGCTTGCCTGAGGAGGTTGTGAAGGCTAGGACTATAACAGCGTTTAAAAAAGAACTGGATAAATTCATGGAGGTTAAGTCTATTAATGGCTATTTAGCCTGGATGGGTAAGGAAGGGTGTCCCTAGCCTCTGTTTGTCAGAGGATGGAGATGGATGGCAAGAGAGAGATCACTTGATCATTGCCTGTTAGGTTCACTTCCTCTGGGGCCCCTGGCATTGGCCACTGTCGGTAGACAGGATACTGGGCTAGATGGACCTTTGGTCTGACACGGTACGGACGTTCTTATGTTTAATGAAAATATTTAAAAAGGAAAAATTAGTCCATTTCAGAAAAACAACAGAACAAAAAAGTCTTTGACCAGTGAGAGGTGCTATCCCAACATGCCATATCTCAGGGACACAGCGTGATTGGGGAGTAGACCCAGAAGAAAGGGCGGAGCTGCCCAGTGAAAGAGGAGGCGAAAGTGTAGATCGGGGCCTCCACACCAGGATGATAAAATGACACCAGGCCCCGCTCATAGTCCAGATACACCCCAATCCTCCCGGGGCTCGCAGTCAGGGGAAGGAGGGTCTCTGGGGAGGTGCGAGCCCGGTAATGGCTCCCACACTGATCTACGGCCCAGATGCTCTCCTCAGGAGAAAAGCTGATCCAGCCCTTCCTCCTGACAGACTCTCTGGCCACCCCCACAGCCCAGGTCCTACCACCCCCGACCTCTACCTCCCAGTAGTGTCTCCCCGAGGTGAACCCTTCCGAGCCCAGCACGCAGGTTTCACTGTCAAATCTCTCGGGGTTGTCAGGGATGTCCTGCTGCAGGCCCCTCCATTTCACAGATCGCTGATTCTCAGAGACCAGGAGGCTGGGATGAGCTGTGTCCGGATCCAGAATCACCATCGCTGCAGAGATGGGGCAGAGCATCAGGGGCAGAGCCCAACCTATCGGCATAGGCACTGACTCCGTGGGTGCTCCGGGGTTGGGGCACCCACAGGGAAAAATTAGTGGGTGCTCTGCACCCACCACCAAGCTCCCTGCCCCAGCTCGCCTCCACTCCGTCTCCACCTCCTCCCTTGAGCGCACTGCATCCCCGCTTCTCCTCCTAGCTCCCAGTGCTTGCCGCTGCAAAACAGCTGTTACGTTGCGTAACAAGCTCTGGGAGGAGGGGGAACGCGGCGCACTCGGGGAAGAGGCGGGGCCAGGGCAGAGATTGGGGGAAGGAGTCCAATAGGGGCAAGGAGGGGGCGGAGTTGGAGTGGGGACTTTGGGGAAGGGGTTGGAATGGGGGTGGGGCGGGGTGGAGTCAGGGTGGGGCTGGGGGCAGGGGGGTCAAGCACCCACAGCGCTGTCTTAGCTAGGACACTCTCTGATCTCCAGGCTCTACCTCCCGGGGACCTGCCCCTCTGCATTTCACTGCAGCTCTCCTCCCAGGCACTAGGGGCAAATAGCTCCCCTGAAAGAGCGGGAGATGCCTCTAGCTCCCATTGGGCCTGTCTGTAACCTCTACAGAGGCCCCTGTGAGGAGCGAGCTCAGGTGTTACACACACGGACATCATTTCAACCATTACGAGAACTCAGTAGTCACCTACCACAAAATCTGTGCTGTGGGGCTGCTCCCACGTCTCCACAGCTAAGACCACAACTGAGTCTCCAATCTACGCCTGAGTTGGGAGCCCTCTATTCTAACACCCACAGAGTCGTATCACACTCAAATTTGGTAGATTTGGTCTGGGTCTAGGTAGAATTTTTCTACCAAATTTGAACTGAATTGGCCAAAGGGCTACTGATTGACAACTCTGTAAAAACAGAGATTTCACCAGAATCCAAAAAGCATTAAGATAATTACCCACAGTCAGTTAAGGTAATTTACAGTTTCCTAGAACCCTTCTAGTTCATGAAGTCAATTAATAACACAACACATGATATGAGAATTCACCATATGTGTCCAGTAAAACGCCAACTCTGACCCACAATTACCAATCCTGTGAGCACCTCCCCCCTGAACTGACAGCGGGTAAGTTCCCAGCCTTAGGAGCACTCTAAGTTATTGCAGTTACACTGGAGCTCTCATGACTCCATAGTTAAGTGTGAGCATTTGTTTCATGCAAGGAAACTGGGGACAAATCTGGCATTTTCATTGACCACACTGTTCTTTCCCTGTGACTTCTGGCATGTGTGCATCTGCTGGGCAGCAGAGTGGTGCAGGGGGGAGGGGGGCTGACATTAAAATACCAGCTTCACTTACCTGCATGTTTGCTGACTTTACTCCAGCCTGAAATCAAACACACAAGAGGTGAGCACTCCCCGGAGCACGGACTGCCCGCGTAGGACACAATGGCATATAGGGGAAAGGGGACACATAGCACTTACCAAGTTCAGCCAGGGATTTCCCTGCAAACAGAAAGACATGGGTGTACAGTCAGTTCTATAACAGCTCTTGGGTTAGGGAATGTGCCTTTAAAGGACACTTTGCCCTCCCCATTGTGCTCTCTGCTGGCCTCTTTCTGCCCAGGTCTCCTGGCCTGAGCTCCATCCTCATAGATCTCTCCATGGATCACACCCCCCTTCTTGGCATCTGACCCTTGCTGGGCTTCCATGACCCTGCCCTAGCTGGGCTCACCTGTGGTGTAGTGTCCACACTCCCCATGTGCCAGGCAGCTTGGCAAGGGGCTAGGCCCTGATAACGTGGAAGTGAGGGTTTAATGAGCTAACCCTTGGCCCTGGACACTGGATCTCAGCCAGGGCCGGTTCCAGGCACCAGCGCAGCAAGCAGGTGCTTGGAGTGGCCAATGGAGAGGGGCGGCACGTCTGGTTCTTCGGCGGCAATTCGGCAGTGGGTCCCTCACTCCCTCTCGGAGCGAAGGACCTGCCACCGAATTGCTACCGAAGAATGAAACGGCGGCGGTAGAGCTGCCGCTGAAGTGCTGCAGATCGTGATCATTTTTTTTTTTTCTGCTTGGGGCAGCAAAAACCCTGGAGCCAGCCCTGATCTCAGCTTATGGGCCCAGCAACATTAGTTAGCTCCTTCTCACTGAGTTTGTGCCTCAAAGTGTCAGAGTGCTAGGAGACTTTGAGACTGCGCTGAGCCCCTGTTTCCAGGGCATCAGGATCCCCCCCACCCCGCCATTCCTTTAAATTCAATAGCAAAAAGGTACTTTGGCCCAGGCAGACCCACCAGTTTTGGATATGGACGCTCCCCTGTGTGCAGATTTTAAAGGAGGGGCTAAAATCAGGCTTATGCTGGAAACTGAGCAGCAATCTTATCTATGGAGCAGTTACTCCCCTCTATGATTGGTCAGAGCTCCCCGTCCGTTTGGTTCCCAGAGCCTCTCCTAACAGATAGTGCAGAGACAGAAGCCAAAGTCTGTCTGACTATGTACAGTGAGAGAAAATCGTTCAAGCCTCCAGTGAGCCCAGACATTTACCTCTCTCGTTCTCCAGCTCAGAGCGCAGAATCTCTGGAGGAGAAAAGGAAGAAAGAGGTGAAGTTTCATGTTGTTACATTAACTGGGTTATTCCTACTGTTATTTCAGGGAACTTGTCCCAGGAACTTACCTCTCTCTTTCTCCAGTTCAGATTGCAGATTTTCTAAAGAAAGAAGAGTGAAAAAGGTGAGATTCTGGGGGGCGATGGTCCCCTCTAATACTAACAGCTGCTATTTTACAGAAAATCAAAGATTCACAGAGCTTAAGGCCAGAAGGGTCATAGTCTGACCTCCAGTACATCACAGACCTTAGACCCTCACTCAGTCACCTCTGTATCAGGCCTAAGGTTACGATTTAGTCACAGGTATTTTTAGAGAAAGTTGTGTACAGGTCATGGGCAATAAACAAAAAAATTCACCGCTTGTGACCAGTTCATGACTTGTACTATAAGTACCCCTAAGTAAATCTTAGGGGGGCCGCTGTTGGAGGAGGAACAGGACCAGCAGCACCAGCTGCCAGGGCTCACTGAGCAGCAGTTGCTCCGGCCGCCTGAGGGACCACTGCTCAGGCAGTCTCTGGGGCCAGCCCCATCGGCTGCTGGTCAGGTGGTCCCCGGGGCCAGCTGCCCTGTGCCATTCCAGCAGTGGCTGGCAGCCGGTGCAGCTGGCTATGGGGCTGCCTGAACAACTGGCTGACCTCATTTGAAAAAAGACGTTGAAAAACTGGAAAGGATGCAGAAAAGAGCCACAAAAATTATTTGAGGGCTGGAAAAAATGCCTGATAGTGAGAGACTGACTTATAATAATGGGATTATTCGCACACTTAAAGTTAAGCCTGTATCTAGCTGATTTGGGGCCCTGATGTGTCTGGGCCTCAGTTCCCTAAGTGTAAAATGGGGATAAGAATGAGGTGGATGAGGCTTTCTTCTGGCAACTAGCAGAAGTTGCTAGATCGCAGGCCCTGGTTCTCATGGGAGACTTTAATCACCCTGATATCTGCTGGGAGAGCAATACAGCGGTGCACAGACAATCCAGAAAGTTTTTGGAAAGTGTAGGGCACAATTTCCTGGTGCAAGTGCTGGAGGAACCAACTAGGGGCAGAGCTTTTCTTGACCTGCTGCTCACAAACAGGGAAGAATTAGTAGGGGAAGCAAAAGTGGATGGAAACCTGGGAGGCAGTGACCATGAGATGGTCGAGTTCAGGATCCTGACACAAGGAAGAAATGAGAGGTGCAGAATACGGACCCTGGACTTCAGAAAAGCAGACTTTGACTCCCACAGGGAACAGATGGGCAGGATCCCCTGGGAGAATAACATGAAGGGCAAAGGGGTCCAGGAGAGCT